CTCTAACCCTTGAGTCACGGGTCCGCCGTGTTGTCGGTTTGTGATCGGGACTAGATAGTAATGGGTAATTGTGCACTGATCTGTTTCAGGATACACCCATCCTGATTTGATGGTTCGTTTGCGAGCTAATCGGAACCCCAATTTTTTATGTTACTCGCTAACTTTTAGTAACAATTGTATTTTACCTACACAAAAAACATGCCCAGTGCTTTACTTGTATCCGAAAACCACAACCATGTTCAATAACGCCATTTCTTCAAAAAATTAATTTGCTAAAGCCTAGCGTGATTACAACGAACTGACCGAATGTCATTCAAGATAGTTTCGCCTCGATGACACCGAGTGATTGGTTGACTGATAATTTCTCAGCTTGTTTTCTCAACAATCCCAAATGAATACCGTTCCGGCTTGTTTTTTTTTATCTGTCACCACCAGTCAGTTTCGATCTATCTCAAAAGCAAAAGAAAAAACTTGCTGAATGTTACTCAAACCACCAAGTATGCCATAAAATTAGATTCGCCTAGCTACTAAACTCGGAAGGTCTTTTATTCTTATGAGTTTCTCACATAGCTAACTTGACCTCAGAATGTCCACTACATCACATTTATTACTTGCCTTTTTCGAACTTCTCTGTCTTTCATCAATGTCAGGATGGTCTGGACCACGTCTCAGCATACTCGATAACCAACGGTCTTCTACTGAATAATTAAAAGTCAGTCCAATGCATTTTCCGTCTGCGACCCTCCCCGAGTTCTGAATTCTTAGACATCTTGCCAAAGGAGGTATCCTATTTCCGGTACCTTAGGTGTACGCAGCCCAGCTAAATAGTCTGTTCGCTTAATATTTTACGCCAATGTTTTCTCAGAAGAGGAATTACCTAGAGTTTCGAAGTCAATTTTTTGGAGTATTAAATTTCATCCGCCCACCGTTATCATTGGGAGGGGCTTTTCAAAGTAACGTCTGCGTCGAATCCTATCTGCCTATCCTATGTCCTAGGACGTAGTCGTGCCCATTTAGGAGGAAACTTACAGATGTGACAGGTCACGTCGTCTGCCTCAAGCGGGTTGTGACCATTCCCACTACCTCTTAACTATCATCCAATACTCACTGTCGCACGTCGAATCTAGGCTCCGTCTAGCAGCCATACCTCGGTAGCCGCCCGACGGGTGGACTATACTAGATGAGGGTATTCGATGTTGTGTTTGTGTGTCCACCCCCGATAGTCCTGTAGACGGCACAGTCTAACTCGGATCGTTCTTCTACTAAACCAAATCGTGACCCGTAATGGAGTTCAGCAGCCGTCTGGGATGTCTGAGTAAGCCTATTTAGGGTTCAGGTCGGGGTTCGGGTCATTTGCACCCTGACCATGGCTAGCAGATGAACGACCCACGGTCGAAACGGCCCACTTTCAAGTAGGAGGGAATGCTTAGGTGGGGTTGCATGTGGGGTCCTCTGTCGATTTCTGCAAGCGTGTGGATAAACAGTTTTCCATTCATCAATACAAAATGAAATTTCAGCAAACCTGCTAAAATACTGTGTATCAGTTTTATACCTGAAGAGGATACTGGGGCAATTTGTACGAAATTGCATTTTCTTTTAATTTTAGACCAAGAAACGCAGAATTTTTAATCTCAATGCTTCGAAGTACACTCTATGTTTTTACATGCTACTAAGATTCCAGACTTTTACTATGTCTCTTTTAACATGGACTCACATAGTCCCACAAACTAGCCACCCGATGCCCATATGATAGATATGGGGTAACATTGTGATCTGCCTAAAAGTACGTGCCCACACCTACGAAATGGGCTACGAGTTCAAATTTGCAGATCTCAAACAAAATTATTTACACCGGAAACGAGAATTGACCGAAACATGGTCCTCTCATGGGAACGCAGTCGACCGATGTATCGATCTGGCGCAGTCCTACAGAGCCCTACGCAGTGACCTCCAAATTTGCGTCCTTAAACATTGATTGTCCTGTACCCTTTTCTGTTGTTGCTGCTGCTGCCACATCTGACGATGAACTTCTGCATGAGTTCGAAAGCTAAGGACAAGAAACCCTTGTTCGGGTGCCCGACCGGCCCTCTTCTTTTTCTTAAAGCATGCAATTATCTGGAACTCGAACTTTCGCACTCATTCCGAAACTATTCAATAATGACTGATGCTTCTAGTCCATAAAGAATATCGTGTGCTCATATGCCTATCCTACGGGGGTTCTTTTATTTCCTTCATTAATGCTAAATTTTATGTGCGCTCTAATTGAGCGGGCAGTAAACCTGGTCTAAACATACTATCAGTACCAGAAAACGGAACACACGCACATACCTTTGCCATATCTTGCGTCCGGCGATAGCAAACAGCAAAGAGACCATTGTGAGAATCCTCGAGCACCATTTCATAGTGAAGAGCTATACACCTGTCTTCTGGTTTGCTAAAGTCAGTAGTGAGTAGGTGTTTGACACACGTCTTGTCAAGGTCCTCCACCGAGGACTTTCCGACTTTATAAGTCCGTACTGCGTCATAGTTGGCCAAACATAAGCGCATCTGTCGTTTGTAAGCCCCAAAGGGATCCAGCCGAGACATACAGGAGATGGTTATTTTCGCTGATAGTAGTTGCATTCGATAAGGTAAGGAAAAGTAAAGGAAGCCAGGCGTCCTTGCATCCTTAATTTTGGCCGACACAGCTAGTTCGCATATTTTGTTAAACATGGCGAGACGATCTATAAATCCTGCCTCGTCATTATCAGACATTGCATCTTCACATTTTTTGCTACCGTACTTAGCCTGCGGCATTAAATCAACAGTGTGGCTGGAAGAAAATCCATGCGTGTTGTCCTCCCATACGGCATGGGATTTGTTAAGAAAATAAACCTTCACCAACTCCGAACCCTCCCCCTGGAGCTTGTGCAAAATCTTTTCAGCAATAGAGGGTGAGTCGATTTGGTTCCATGGATCCATGGGATAAAGAATAATGTGCGGTCGTTTGCGCATTCCTCTCGACCTAGCGGTTGAGAAGGTTTCAGGAATTGCCTGAATAGCCTCATCCATGCGTACTCGATACTTGTAAGGGCATGAATTCTCGGAGATAAATAAGGAAGCAGGACGAATATTCTCGGATATCAAGCCCTCCACAAGCTGATGTCTTGTCAAGTTGTGCCTAAAGTCTAGTGCTTTTCGATAGAGTGGGTGCCTTTTGAGGTCACCAAGAATAGTAGTGGGTACGATGCTGATACGCGCCAACTCAGAACTCTGTGGCAAGCCTAAAATAATTTGTCTCAGCAACGTAAGGTAACGCCTTCCATAGAAGTCAATCCTCTCCATCTCACCCGAGTGGCCTTCCATTTTCACTGATGGTAACAGCTGAGGGGAAACAATCATTGAAATATCAATTTTTTTCATTCTCTCATCTGTGCATATACAGACCGTCAGATGCAAACGACGAGGTATGGTGTATGCTTTGCCGTGGAAGTCCGTATTTGTGCCCTCACAAAGAAACAAAAAACTGACGCCGCGCAGAGTGGAGTTATAGGGAATTGTCACGGTGTCACCATTTATCATGTTCGGTGGTTGAAAATTGTCAATATCCCTAAAGACCCGCTCGGTTTTCCAATACGGAAGTGGCAAAGAGCTTGCATACTTTTTGTAGCTTTCGTTTTGTAGTGGATTGATGAGACTCCAGGAGTGCTTGAGAAGAGGAAAACCTGTCCCACCCTTGCACCTGACACTCGTCCCCAGCGGTACGGGGTGTTCCTCAAAGTATGGAGTTTTACTCTCAAACTGCAACTCCCCAGTGGCGCCTTGATAAAACTCTATGTGAGCGGATTTTGAACCAAGTATACGCAGCAGGCGATTTCCATTTTTATCGTTGGGATCTCTCATCCAGTCGGGCAGTTCTTCTTTTGACGGTGAGTATGTCATCTGACATTCAGCTATGTGTAGGCCCGCATACATAGGCATCGGTGTTTTGCCCAACAAATAATAATGATTAACATAGGAAACCCAAATGTAATCCTGAGACCCCCAAGAATGCCACCGCTCTTGGCGCGACTGAGTTTCTTGGCGGTTCGGTATAACTTCCAGTTCAGTGGGAATGTTTGTGACTGGATCATAATGAGTATACTTCAATGTTATTTTTCCCCCTTTACCGATCTCCTCTTCAGGTACAGAGCAAAGCAAAATAAGTGTTTCTTTAGTATAAACCTTCTCTGGTGCATCAGCATAATTTCTTGCGCCGTAAGACTTGTTAAACATATAAAAAGTCGAAGAATAGTCTCTTCCTATATACGTCTTGAACGTAACTGTCGGCTTAGAGATATACAGGCGTCTGTCTCTGCAGATGGGACGTGTTATGCATCCTTTTTCTAGGTCACATCTAGAGGCACTACACGTATACACTCCGCTATCATTGTATTGAGCATTCTCAAGCGTCGCTTCAAAATAGGTTCCGTGATTTTTCGGGCTCGGTATTCTAGTACTCCTACCGAGTTCATTCACATGTTTATCCCGCCAACATTTGGCATTAATCACCTTTCCATCTGGAAAGGAGCAGATAAATCTAGCAGTAGACCCTAACGGAACAACTGCTGGCCAACCCACAAAAAGCTGGACCAAACGACGAGCGAAGCCATAAATGCCCTCAAATTCTGGAATTTCGGGTTTTGTTTTAGTCAGCCAAAGAGTAACCGAATTGAGAGCGGCAGTTTTGACCGCTTGTAGGGCACTGTCAGTTGTGAAGGGTTTTTTTGGGTCGTTCCTAAGCACATTTGCTGCAACGATAAGCAAGCCCACGTGTTCCACGGTGAGTAGGCAATCGAAGGTCAGTTTCGCTGGATTAGGAAAACCCAAAGCTTCGTTCAAATCCGCAATATTGGAGTCACATGTCAAAAGCTCCGATTCATTACCATTTCGGAGTAGTTTCACAATATAGACTTCAGCTTTTCCTTTTGGTACGCCAAGACTCAGAATTATTTCGCCGTGCATCCGTTCTCCTTCCGTCAACGGATCTTTATTAATCGTTTTTCGAAAGTGTTTCTCCTCTAGTATTTCTGCCGAGGGACTGCGTAGAGCATCTTTAAAGTGTGGATCGCTACAGTTTATGTCTCCTGGTCTGATTTTGGGTGGTTTGGTGACCTCAAGCCTGCCTTCATGGACGTCACGGTGATTTCCATGAAAATCCACTTGAAGCGTATAAGTTCCTTGTAGATTGGAACTAGCGTTACGCACGTAAACGTGCCAAATATGACCGTCTATTCGCAGTCCGTATGGGTCACTGGGAGCGCAGAAGATTGACACACATCCTTTTGAACACTTGAAAGACAGTTCAATCCACGGTGGCGCTTCTGGAGAGTACGCGCAATCAAGTTTTAGACTGTCATTTTTGTACACCTTTATGTCCCTTATTGCCCTCGCGTTCTTTGGTACGAACCACATGCACCACTCGTTGCCTTCCTGAACATATTCATCTGCCTCAAAATGATACAGCATAGATTCTTCTTGCAGTTGGCCACATGCATAGACCAATAGCTGCAAAAACAACGCGAGCGCCATGAGTCAGCAAGCTTACTATGCGGGTGGCAAGCTCTGCCAGTTTAAAAGTTTGCACGAATAAATCGATACGATTTGCCATCGATCCCAAAGGACAGGAAAGAAGCCAGACAGTAGTTGCACATCCAAACAAGCATGAGTGGGAGTGTCTTCTCCTGTCCAGCCTATTTGAATTTTTCAACGTGGCCACTAGATAATGTAGGGAAGGCATAAAAAGCAGGATCAATTGGCAGCCTAAGTAGGATACATGTTGCTGACCGTAAAGAAATAGCGTTACGAGTCCTTGCTCGTGCAGGATAATTAATCTCGGGGGGATATTTCAGTGACTTTTCTTACTTATTAAGGCAACAGTAGTTCAAGTAGAGCACCTCATATGCCCCTACTCCCAGCATTTTGTCTTCCGGGAACGGTGGTTCTAAGGGTTTTATGAGCGAAGAATTAGGATAGGCAGTGGAATATACGTTAATAACTGTCATAGGCATTTTTCTTTATTGTATGTAGAAATGCTGTTGTTTTTTAAATGTTGATTTTCCCAATCTGTAGTATTGTTTAAGGTATTATGGAAAGACCCAATTAGCAAAATGCAGGATTCTCGAATTTCCTGAAAAAAAAATAGAAATGATAGTTTAGACGTCGTCTACCTCAACTTACCTGGAGTCTAACTTGTCGTTCTGGTGGTAAATTAGTATAGTCCACGGCGTGAAACGCCGCGCACACCTTCAAGTTACATGCGCAATAATTTACGCCCAGCGGCCGCGGGAACCAAACTCAACCAAATTTTTCCACTTTGCACTTACTTCTACAAATTTCCTTCACTGCCTATCCTATTTTCCCACCCCCTCCCAAAAAAACCCCTATAACTACCGTTTCCATTGGAAAAAATGCTGGGACTAGGGTATATGAGGCGCATTACTTAAACTACCTTTGCCCTTATTAATCTGCCGTCTCAATGGAGGTCCCGTTTCACCTGTCAAATACTTTGAAATCGTCTCTCTTTCCGTTCCCAGCACCTCGACCTCTTTTGCGACTCTACGAAGCTGTGTGCTGCGCGATGGCTTTCACCGGCATGCCAACAATATGAGCCTATCTGGTGAGCACGTCCCAACAGTAGGTAAATTTCATGTAAAAAGTCCTATGCAGAAGACGATATCCGATTGCATAGGTGACGAAGGCGAATGTGGGTCATTTGTCTATTGGAGGAGTCAGGAACGTATGGCTCGCGAGCCAGGTGTGGCTCTCTCAGATAAAATTGGAATTAGAAACTTCAGAGTTTGTGATGTAAAAGAATAAATCCAGAGGCTTATTATGCTCACATTTAATTGAATTTAATTTGACAATATATTATATGGCTCTCACTGAAATATATTTCCAAATATTTGCTTTCTTGGCTCCCTGAGTCTTAAAGGTTCCCGACCTCTGGTCTATTCAACCAGTTGTGAGCGGTTGTGGGGCTCTACAGCTGTCTGGAATCTCTCACCAATCCCATATAATCTTACTCTGTTTACCATTTTGTGGGCAAAGTAGGGAGAGTACAAAAGTGTCCCAAAACTGCTGTTTCACCCCGTGGTACACGCGCTTACTTTGCACATCCGGTACACCGGGTTGTCCATCTATGTAATCCAATAGCTGGCAATTCCGGGGGCAAAGAAAATTATGACCATCCGCAAATAGACAGCATACAAGGAGATATCGTGGACCTAATTGAGACTGGCCTCACGAAACAAGGGCAACTGACTGAGGTGGGTGTGGGATACTTATTCTGAAGAGGGCTTCCAAAGTTGTAGCAGAGAGACGTAGGAATCCGTTCCACCGAAAAAGCCAACACTGTGAAACAGCTGCCTTCATTCCTCAAGAAATCTCATGAGAAGGGAGGCCCTTTCTGTGCAATAAATGTGCCCCTTCCCCTTCATTCCACCCTACGCACAAGGCTGATTTGAAGAGCATGTTCTACGAAGAAATGTACTCCCTCCTCGCTTCCGTGCCGAGAGCGGATAAGCTAACTGTCCTCAGTAATCCAGCTGCCCACAATACCTATGGTGTACAGTGGGTCCCCCTATCTCATGAACTGTTAACCGAAATGCTAGAATTTGCTTTCAATTCGAAAAAAATACTAAAGTAAGATTTTAAAATTAATAATCGTACATTCCAATCTCAAGA